ACCTCGTCAAGTAAGTATGGAAAAGTCTTCACCCTACAAGTATAAATAGGGGTCATTTGTAGAAGCTTAAAGACAATTACGAGGGAGTTCAGAGAATATACAAGAGAGAATATACAAATGCTCTCTACGAATTCATAAAAGTTCTACGGTGTTCTAGGCGGCATTCAAGGCGTTCGTCGTAGAAATATACGAATCATAGCGCTTAATTCGGGATTACGGTATAAAACCCTCGAATTAACGTTATTGAAATCCGAAAGCACACATTCGGAGGATCAAGCACTAAAATCCACCGGAGCATACTAAGGGGTTTGTTACACGTTCTTCAATAAATATACTTTTAATTCGAGATTATACACAAAATTCTCGAATTAACGTTATTGAAGTACAAACCCCTGGCGGAAGAAATCGAAAGCATTAATTCCATCAAATCTTACAAAGGTGTTCGTTGCACGTTGTTTAAAGCTTTAACGTTTGATTCGAGGATAAGTTACGAAACCCCCGAATTAACGTTATTAATTTATTAATTAATATTTGGAGGAGATCAAAGGGCGATTACACCTCGGATATTAAAAAATTCCAAGATTACCACTCTCGAGGAGAAGAATCAGGGGACTTTAAATAGAGATTGTAACCCAATTTTTTTTAAATCAATAAAACTCTATTTTGTACCTTATTTCCGGTTTATTTATTTATAAGCTCGAAATTTGTGGTTTACATGGACCAAAATGGAAAGGCCGGTGGTTTTCATGCTGTTGAACTCAATAGGCCTATTTCTTCCGGGGAGTTGGAACAGAAGCCCCGGCGACAACATCACGAACAATATTACTGCCACTAGCACCGGTGCCAAATCAGCTGCCATTGTATATATATATATATATACTCGATCTCTATTGGCCTAGGTAGCTAGTTTTAGGACGATGGATGGATGAATCATATATATGATGATAATTAATCCTTGTTTAGTATATATGTATATGTGTTGTAGTAACAACGGATCGATGGTGCAACATTATATTGGATTTGACGTCAAACGGGGCCGGCATGCACGTTCTAGCTAATTTGTTCGGCCGCCGGCTATATATATATAACTAACTGGGCTGGGTAGTCTTATTATTTGTTATGGGCCGCCAGATTTTCTCCTATTGGGCCACCACATTAATTAATTAATTAGTCTCTTAATCTAGCTTTTTGTCACCAAACAATAACAACCCCTCTTAATCATTTTGTTGTCACATGCAAGTCACGTGCTTCTATATCAATCTAAACCTATAGAAGCAAGCAAGCAAGTCATCCAACTTTTGACATGCATGCTTTTTCCCAAATTCCAAATCTAAAAGAAAAGCAACGCCAAATCATATTGCACCAAAATTAAAGCAATTCCATTATCATGCATGCATCATATCATATCATATCATATATATAATATATATATACTTTCCCTCCTTTTAAGTTTAGCTTCGCCTTCTTCGTTAAGATAAATCAGAGTCAGTCTCTAGAACAATCCATTATATTTCATTTCCCCTAGCTACTTATAATAATTTCCATCAACCATTACCCAATTATATTAAAAACCAACAAACTACTTGAATAAGCCATTAAAAACAGAGAAAAACACACACGGAAGAATATTATTGGAGAATGGGTGCTGATTGGGGACCGGTGGTGGTGGCGGTGGTGATGTTCATACTCCTCTCGCCGGGGCTGCTGTTCCAATTACCGGCGAGGACGAGGGTCATGGAATTTGGGAACATGTATACAAGTGGCATCTCCATATTGGTTCATGCTATTTTGTTCTTTTGTATCTACACTATTTTGATTATTGCTATTGGAGTTCATATACATGCTGGCTGATCATCTTCTTAATTGTAATTAATTAATGTCAAACATGCTTTCCAGTTATTTCTTTTCTACCGTACTTGGAATGTTGATTTTTCACTCAGTACTCTCCTCATGTAATGAAATTCTTGGCCTCTGTTTTGTAATCAAATCTAGCTGTCACAAACAAAAGTTCATCAACACAAATATAAAACACAGTATGAAAACATGAGTTGAGGCAGAGTTTAAATTAAATTTCTGATGAGAGAGAACACAGACACACACTCACACAAACACAAACACGAGAATACAAGAAGCTTTATCTATACGATAAGACGTGGATCTTGCTCCGATGAGATTAAGGGGACGGCCGATCAGCCGG